ATTAAAGACCCAATGAAAATCACTCAACAATTGCAGTTTTTATTCATTGGTTGACCAGTTTCCTTATGAAACTTGAAATTGGGGTTGAAACAGCAGTCATCAAAAGGCTTGTAGTTTTTAGATTACATCACAGGCTTGAACTACATTTAGTTTTTATTTTACTTAAAAAAATTGTAAACACCTGTGGGTACAACATAGGTAGTCATTATTTTTGGTCCACTTTAGATGAAAAACTGTCAATTGTATTATGTACATCTTTTAAGCTTTTAGAAGGCCTTAAAACTAATAGAATTTACTGAAAACCACAAAATTCTACACAAAATTGTTTTACCAGAAAACAAATCAAAATAGACCTTTAATAAAAAACTTTAAAAATGGTTCTTGGCAAGCCATACAAAATAGCTTTTATCTTTCTATTAATAAGGGATTTGTGATGTAATTTTTCTGCAAGGCCTTGGAACAATCTCACTCCTAACTTATCTCTTTATAATACTGGAAATATCAACTACTTTCAAATGACTGTCCAACAAGGTTACCTTTAAATGTATAAGCACTGAACCTTTCTGTAGCCTGGCTTTCAGCTTTTGCAAGGCCCCCTACTGTTAAATCTATCCGCATGAGAAAAGACACAAATGAACACTGTTTAATACTTCATTAGAATATGTCTAAGATGTCAATCTTATTTCTCAATCCCTCATGAATGCATTAGCACAATAGGTCCCTTGAAAGCAGTCAAGTATTGACACTCTATAGTGGCATATGTGAATGGAGCACCATGCACAGACAATCAGACAGCATCAGGTTTAGGTCTAAAGAACCTTGTATATGTTTGTGTATAGTGTTCAAATGTTCTCCATGTCTTTTGTATTGTAAGCTAAAGCAAGCTTATCCATTGGACATATGCACCTGCAGAGTGCAAAATGTGCGTAAGAGGCTTTCAAAGTAATGCAACAATAGTCTATTTATGCTAAACGCAGCAAGAGATCTATATACTACGCTCACGTATGATTACAAATAAAGCACAGCAAGTGTCTCAAGCTTTGCAGGCAAATCTGTGAGTGTAAAACCCATTTCCAACTCCATACTTAATATAAAAACTTTAATAAAATGCTGAGCTCAACTGATCACAGGTGAAAAACCTAAAGGGGAAAAGCTCACCTGTTACTACAAATCAAGAGACAGCAGTTGAACAGACCTCATAATAGTTGTTCATACTGAACACCGCAGGCTACGATGACTACAGCAAGCTTTAATTGCAAAGATGCAGCCACTATAGAGGGACAAACCAAGAGATCTGAAGGACTGCAACCTCAGACAATAACTACAGTTGCTAATCCTCCTCCGTCATTATGGTCATGGTTTATTACCGCGCTTAGCAAACTAATGCTGTGTTTTCCTGTGTGGATTAGCAAGATGACTTGGCGCCGAAACATGTTCCCCACTCTGAAACCTACATTTGATCCCTTTAGTCCGGAGAACCCTTTAAACCAGAAATTAATGATGAAACATGCACAAATGTCTTGTTTTGCACAACTAAAATGCTTATCTTAAAGGGGTCATATGATGTTGCTAAAAAGAACATTATTTGGTGTATTTGGTGTAATGAAATGTGTTTATGCGGTTTAAGGTTCAAAAAACACATTATTTTCCTCATACTGTACATTATTGTTTCTCCTCTATGCCCCACCTTTCTGAAACGCGTAGATTTTTACAAAGCTCATCGTTCTGAAAAGCAAGGTGTATTGTGATTGGCCAGCTATCCAGTGCATTGTGATTGGCCGAATACCTCAAGCGTGTGATGGAAATGTTACACCCCTTGCTATATTGTGATGCCTTGTCCTGGCCGGAGCGACGAGACAAAAGCATTAAAACCCATTATAAACTAGGCATTTGTTGCATCCAGTGGGGATATAATTACGGATTATAATGACTCATACTGTCTATTTACACGTTCCGTTGCATCGCGCAGCGTAAACATAAAACCATGTCTGCATTTGTGTTCGGAGAAATGACAAACTACAAACGCTACTCTACACTGCTCAAAACTCGCATTTGAATCATCAGTGGCAAATTCTTTAAATATAAAAAACGTAATTACAATCTGTGAGTCAGAACAGCCAGTTCAGAACAACCAGGATCAGGAAACAGTCCTCCATAAAATGCGCTGCACACATCTGAATATTTGGGTTGAACTGTTCTGGAACAGTGTTGTAAATACAACTTAACCACTGATTTCTAGTCGTGTCCTCTTTTGGAAGGCCAAACAAAGTAGTTTCGCTTTCACAACGAAACACAGCGTCACACACGGCTGGCTAGAGTGAGCAGAGGCCGGGGGCTAGAGTGAGTGGAGGCCGGCTTGAGTGAGTGGCGGCGGGCGGGCTTGCGGCAACCATATGTGACGACCCCGGGCTCGACTCCGCTTTGTCCATGGTGAAAGCCGATCTGGCGATCCACAGCATGAAGTTGATGTATTTCCTCAGCGACCAGCATGGATCAGCTCCAGGCATGACGAAGCGGATATCGCCCTCTTTTAGAAGGCCAAACAAAGTAGTTTCGCTTTCACAACGAAACACACAGCGTGTTAGAACGAGCCGTTTTAGGTAGGCGTGGTTGACTCTTAACTTTTATAAAGAATATCTCTTTGGATTTGAGACTTTAGTCTTTGCAACTTTACAGATCTTCTTTATGCACCAAGAGCTTGTAACACTCCAAAGAGAAAGGAAAAAAAATCGCATCATATGACCCTTTTAAGTAAAATTGTGTGAATTGCATATACAAACAGTAGGCTCTACCCAATGAGCACTGACATTAACACAAACATTCATCTGTTGTGCTCCTCTGTCACGTTTCGGGGGGAAGAAATTACATTAGCATCCTCAGCGACATTTTAGCCAAACATTTAAACAACCTTGGGGTCTACATCACCAATGCAGTCCATATTGAGACTACTCGCAAGACTGCACAATCTCTATAAACTGACAAAAAGTGTATGTAAATATTTGCTGACTTGTTCTTATCTTCACATCCCCTCATAGAATAATACATAAGATGAAAAGAAATTCCATCCTGAAGAATTAATTCTCTGTACGATCCTTTAGAACTCATATTCAGTTCCTGTCCCAGAGGCACACATCACAAGTACAATCTGGTAGGTTAGGATGGAAAAAAATGGGCCTATGATGTTGTAATCCGGCACTGATGACATTCAACTAATATGTATGCAACCAGCCATAATAAACACAAATAAATGTGTTAGTCTTCAGGAATTAGATAAAGGTTTTAAGAATAGTGGTCACATCCTTGTGTTTATTACCAACTTACATTTTGAGAAAACAGTGGATTCAAATTCCACACCTTAAGTACATCTGTGCATAATTTATGCATAACAAAATGTAAATGTCTCTGGTATTATTAACCATAGACCTTATTTTACTTCGGCTATAAATGGAAAATCACAATTTTAAAACCCCCTTGGAAATCCCTTGCTAATTCTCTTCTGGGTTTAGCACTACAAACTGAAAAGCTCTATATTTTAGGGGTCTAATTGATGGGACAATTCAGCTCACAGTAATGCACTAGATAAGGTGTATCCACATAGGCTTGACATCCATCAACGCCCAAGAGGACCATTATTATTGAGGAACAGTCAGCTCCGATTGGATCCTCCCTGGTGTTTCGGTCTTGTATTATTTGCTACACAAGTTAATACCTCAAAATAATATAACAACTTACATGTCACCATTGACGCCATTTGATCAAAGAAGGACAGACGCGTGAGTGCCATTTCTCGTCAGAATTGGCGCGCTTTCATAACGGTCGACTTGTGGTATGTAGCTACTTTCTTAAGTTTTCTCTAAAACGGCATATTGTGTCATGCATGTCCTCTCTAGAGCTTAACCATTTGTCATAGAAACCTAAAATTAAGAATCAAATTAACATTTCACCTCGTTTTCTAAAACTGGTCTGGTTTAATTTAGCCAAATGAAAACTCACAACTCTCTCCCACGAAATCAATATATATTCTCATTACTCTGACATGTTCAACACAGTTAACCCCTATATGAAGCAAGGCTTCTCACGGGCTAAATATCGTGGATGAAGGCTTGAGCAAATAAAACCTTATTAGCATAATTATAAACACACCACTGATATGAAGCCTAATAGTAACTGACACTAATGAAGACAAATGTGAATATTCTATTTCCGACACGCATCGCTTGAGGAGAATAAATGACAAGAACGAGATTATACCAAAATAGAGATTTAATTTTACTCTTTGTCTTCTTGTTTGAGTGGGATATGATGTATTCGATGTCAAGTAGAACGCGTCGTAGTTCTTTATGGCGCACAACCGAACGTGTTTTAAGTGCAAATATAATCAGATAAGCGAAGCTGCACGTTTTTCTGTTCTATTTTCATTGGTGTGTGTTTCATTGTATCCTGGCACCTGTTTGGAGCATTTAATAGCTCCGGTTTTTTTCTTTTTGTAAAACGTTTAACTATAGTAGAATATTAATAACATAGGCTAATCATACTGAAAACGCCTGTTCGTTTGTGAGAACTGCATGTCAGATTGCACAAGGGGTGCTCTGGGGTGGTGGGAGTATTTCCCCATTGCAAAATGATGGCAAAAGAAAGACTCTTTGAATATGAATTTTCTTGTAAGCCTCTTTGCCCCAGTTCCAAAATTAACAGCCGTTGAGAAAAGCAAGATTCCCAGCCTTGTTACGTGATATAGTAATATCCATACAAGCAACAATGCAAAGGTTCAGACTGAGAAGATAAGTTCTCTCTAAACGATTCAAGTGCAAAATAGTGGCTAAAGGGTCCTGATATTACAGTTTCACCAGACTGTAATGTATTTAATGTTGACATGACAAAAATGGCACGTTTGATTTATCATAAATATTACAATAACGCACGCGTCACTAATGGATGATGTGCAGGAGACAAAAAAGTATATATTTTTTTACATTATTGTAGGTTTTACCACCCCAAAATCACAAGCCTCTTATTAAGGGAATCACGCGTTTACCTTTGTGCATGCCGGTGTATCGGTCCTTTAATACAGTCAATTCGTGGATTTTCCCAAACTGTTCGAATAATGGTTTCAGGTCTTTTTCCTCAAGGTTCCGCGGTATTTGCCCGATAAAGAGTTTTATGGCATCTTGATCTTTCATGGTGCCGTTCTCCGGATGAATGGAGATGGATTCTGACCCGTTCATGGGTTTAGGAAATGGGATCTGAGCGTACTGGTGCTGGTGCGGGATTAGGAGGAGTGGATGTTGGGTCGGTGCTTCCCCGGGTCCAGTGAAAAGCAGGCTGGAGTACGCGGGATGGGGCGGCTGTGGGTGCTGCTCCCTTCTTGTCTCAGTCTGAGTGAATCTGGCCATTCTGAGCTGGGAGCAGACTGGATAATAATAATGACAACACATACACACACACTGAGAGAGAGCGAGCAGTCAGCTGGAAACACAGACTTACTTTCTCGGCGCTACACATTCGCACACATGCACACATTCGGAGATGTTTAGGGGGTGGGGGAGATGCCGCGCCATGTTTTGCTCCAGAGCGACACCCAGTGGCCAACGCGTGCTGTCGGGCCTACAGTCGGTGTGCATTGCCGAGAAACACCTACACATAGTTAAATACGAGTGTTTTGGACAAAAAGGATGTTCAAGTTCACACAGCTGCGCGATACAACCGGCTAAGTTAATATACTATTAGGTTTTGAAACACATCCGCATTAAACGAAAATGTATTAGTGATTTGTTTTCATGTGGATTGACAATCTGTTAGTTAAGTGAGGGCATCTATTATTTAATTGTATCACCAATGGTAGTTGTAATTTTAGTTTTTAAATGTAGAAATGTGTCATTGTAGCATCTAAATGTGACCATTAAAGTCATAAACTATGACAAATAAATTAATAGATGTATAGACAAAAAATAATGCATAACATAACATTTTACATGTAGGCTACATAGCTTTAAAAATAAGAACCAACATGAATATTTAAATAAATATAATAAAATCACAGTCCCCAGGTACTTACTTTTACTGGTTTTACTGTATTTTAAGAGGAATTTGCTTTTCAAAATATAATTTGTTTTCACTGTTAGGTCTAATTAAAATTCATACTTTTTAGGTCCATTAAACACAATTTTCACAGCAATTTATAATTTAAAAAATGCATGTTTTTTAATTAAATATAATATCATTTTTCACTGTAGCATATTTGTTGTGGTAACTTGCAGTTAACTAATTGACGGGTTTAACTGTGCAATATTTACAGTTTTTCCATTAAAATGACTAACTTTTTTTTAAAGTGTAGTGGCATTATATTCTTTGTAACTTTGAATATGTTAATATCCTTGAACATGAAAAAAGGAACTAAAAACAAACAAACAAACTGCTTTACAGTAGGCCTTTGACTGTATGGAAAGGAGCCAGAATTGGACAGCCCTACAATGATATACACATCCATAGAAAAAAGGTACTAGTACATTTTTGTAAGGTAAGCCATCAGAGAATTAGTCTGATATGCAGACATTAACTTGCAGTTAACTAATTGACGGGTTTAACTGTGCAATATTTACAGGTTTTCCATTAAAATGACTAACTTTTTTTTAAAGTGTAGTGGCATTATATTCTTTGTAACTTTGAATATGTTAATATCCTTGAACATGAAAAAAGGAACTAAAAACAAACAAACAAACTGCTTTACAGTAGGCCTTTGACTGTATGGAAAGGAGCCAGAATTGGACAGCCCTACAATGATATACACATCCATAGAAAAAAGGTACTAGTACATTTTTGTAAGGTAAGCCATCAGAGAATTAGTCTGATATGCAGACATTATCTGTCACTATGGTTACAGTGTTATTCAAGACTGTTCTGAGAATACAGGTGGGAATTGAACTTAGCTACCTGTCTAAGAAGACAGCTTTTGTCTGCTATTAGATATTAACACAACTCGAAAGACTCAAGTCAAATCATTTGTTAGTCCCAAAAACTGACTGTGTGAATGTAGCCATATTTTATCAGCTAAAATCAAATAGACATAACAATGAGACTTTTGATACAGTTTTTGTTCTTTTTTATTTATAAAACATAAGAATGGCCTTTGATCAGGTTGCTTTCATCCATCAGAATAGCAGCATCTTTACATGAATCTGTTGTTTAGAGTTGTTGTAGAAAACACTTAAAGGGGTCATATGATGCTGCTAAAAAGAACATTATTTTGTGTATTTGGTGTAATGAAGTGTGTTTATGCGGTTTAAAGTTAAAAAACACATTATTTTCCACGTACTGTACATTATTGGTTCTCCTCTATGCCCCGCCTTTCTGAAACACGTTGATTTTTACAAAGCTCATCGGTCTGAAAAGCGAGGTGTGCTGTGATTGGCCAGCTATCCAGTGCGTTGTGATTGGCCGAATACCTCAAGCGTGAGACGGAAATGTTACGCCCCTCACATAGGGTGATGCCGTGTCCGGCCGGAGCGACGAGACATAAACATTAAAACCCATTATAAACGAGGCATTTGTTGCATCCAGTGGGGACATAATTACAAATTATAATGACTTATACTGTCTTTTTACGCGTTGCGTTTTTATGCTGTTCTCTAAAATAGCTGTCATATTGCTACCCTGGTGTGAATGTTGAATTTGTGGAAAGAATGTGAAACACAATGGGCATTAAACATAAAACCATTTGTGATAGGAGAAATGACAAACAACAAGTGTTACACTACACTGCTCAAAACTCACATTTGAATCATCAGTGGCAAATTCTTTCAATATAACAGTCTGTGAGTCATAATAGCCGGCATTGTAGTCTACTCTACCAGGATCAGGAAACAGTCCTCCATAAAATGCGCTGGACACATCTGAATATTTGGGTTGAACTGTTCTGGAACAGTGTTGTAAATATAACTTAACCACTGATGTCTAGTCGTGTCCTCTTTTGGAAGGCCAAACAAAGTAGTTTCGCTTTCACAACGAAACACACAGCATCACACACGGCGGGCTTGCGGCAACCATATGTGACGACCCCGGGCTGGACTCCGCTTCGTCCACGGTGAAAGCCGATACGGCGATCCACAGTGCAAAGTTGTAGTATTTCCTCAGCGACCAGCACGGATCAGCTCTCTTTATGACATATGACTCTTAACTTTTATAAAGAATATCTCTTTGGATTTGAGACTTTAGTCTTTGCAACTTTACAGATCTTCTTTATGCACCAAGAGCTTGTAACACTTCAAAGAGAAAGGAAAAATTTAAATCGCATCATATGACCCCTTTAAAAATAAAGGGGGTTCACGATGCCATAGAAGAACCTTTTTGTCTAAATGGTTCCATAAAAAACCTTTAACATCTAAAGAAACTTTCTGTTTCACAAAAGGTTCTTTGTGGCGAAAGAAGGTTTTACAAATTATAAAAAGGTAAGGAAGAGATGGTTCTTTAAAGAACCTTTGACTGAATGTTTCTTTGTGGAACCAAAAATGGTTCTTCTATGGCATCGCTTGAAGAACCTTTTGAAGCACCTTTATTTTTAAGAGTGAAGGCCTGCTTCAAGCTCACAACATTGACAAAACACAACAATAATCACTTAAAATTTCACTTACGATATCCTACTAGGAATTTGTTTAGTTCGGCCAGAATAACTGCAAAATATGTATCCATTTCCATGCATATTTCATGTAACCATTCATGCAAAGAGTTGCTTAATTAAAAGAAATTAGTATTTTTTATGCTGTTCTCTAAAATAGCTGTCATATTGCTACCCTGGTGTGAATGTTGAATTTGTGGAAAGAATGTGAAACACAATGGGCATTAGTAAACTGACAGTATCAATGTTTTTATGAACTCTGTTTTGAGACAAAGCAATTTCTAAACTACAAGTGATGGAGCAATATCTACACTTCATCCTTGTGGCAGGAAGTGTCATTGAGCTTTTATATAACAGATCAATTCCTCACTTAAAAGGGGCCTTTCAGAAAGATATGTGACTGTAAAAAAAGAGAGCTGCAATATCTCTAGATTGTTATTGTGTGTTCGGGTGGGGTTGTGTTTTTTACTTTTTTTTTTTTTTCTTGGCTCCCATTTGGTATGTAATGCTCTCTTTTTATGATCCAATTACTGATATATAAAATCAAGTACAGCCCTATTTATTTTTCTTTTGAAATTATAATGATCTGTGAACATTTCATGTCGACTTTAATTTTAAACTTGCTTACAATCAAATAACTGTAAAAAAAAATTGTCTAATTCTTATAAAGTTGATACAAATGTTCAAAGCAGCATTCAGGATAAGTTGATATTAATTTATTGATATAAATTTTTATGACATCAAATGAAGAATTGTGTATGTAATGTTGCAATGTAACACAAGTAGCGACAGATAATTTCTTTGATAAAAGCATCACATTAATTCACAAGTACCAATTAATGTCTTGTGAAGCGAAAAGCTGTGTGTTTGTAAGAAACAAATTAATCATGAAGATGTTTTTAACATCAAACTGTTGCTTACGGAGTCCTCTACCCATAATATTGCTTTCTCCAGTGAAACATTGTCTCATCTGAATCAGGAAAGAAATATGCACAGATCAAGCACCATTTACAAGCGAAAACAGTCCAAAACAGTTCTAAAAAAATTTTTTGGTGATTTTTAACGTAATAGGACAACAGAGAATTAACTTTTTCACCGGAGGAATCGTTATTATGGATTATGGACTCTTGTTTTGTCAAGTTTAAATTTAAAATGCCTTAAATTTAAAATTCCACAGCTTTTTGCTTCACTAAACGTTAATTGATGGACTGAAGTGGTGTGAATTACTTGTGGATTATTGTGATGTTTTTAACAGCTGTTTGGACTCTCATTCTAACGGCACCCATTCACTGCGAAGGATCCATTGGTGAGCAAGTGATGTTATAGCCTACTACATTTCTCCTATTCTGTTCCGATCAAGAAACTCATCTACATCTTGGACGACCTGTGGGTGAGCACATTTTCATTTTTGGGTGAACTATTCCTTTAAGTAAGCTGGTGGTGTTGCAGAATGTGGCGGCTATTTTTAGGGCTGAGTTTGATGGAAGTGAAGAGTGAGAACTTCCAGTTCATGTGCTTTATTGACCACCACCATTAGTATTTCGCCTGGCTGAGGGGGCGCGACAAGAAATCAATGACACCAGCGCTATTAGCGCGAACTGAAGAAGCATTACAATTTAACGTACGAGCGTTTTTTAGCCGCTGGTTGTTAAGCACTCAGTGGGTGTGGAGAGGCAGTCGAGCTTGGCCTCCCCAGTCTCCAGTAAGTGGTTGGGGCTCAGGGGAGAGTCGTAGACAGCTGAAGGGGGCACTTAACACACTGTGTGGCCGCTAGCATGTATAAAGATCAGACACAGCTGCAAAAGCAAGTTCATCTATGATCTCAAGCCTACACGGATACAGCCACACACATAGAAACACTTATGTAAAGAAATATACTTTTATCCCTATATGGCAAAAATAAATATATTATCAGATATATTTTAATATATTTTTGATAAGTTTTAGTTAGGTTACTTATAAATACGAAGAAATTGTCCAACATGTATTTCTGATTATGTATTTTATAGAAAGACAGCGGAGACCAGGACAACTAGATGAGCCCCAGATACAGATCCCCTGTAAAGACCTCGTCTCAGACGACCACCGGGACAAGACCACAGGAACCAGATGAGTCCTCTGCACAATGTGACATTGCTGCAGCCTGGAGTTGTACTGCTGGTTTCGTCTGGTCAGAGGAGAACTGGCCCCCC